CATAATTTGTTTGAGTGTACCCCACAAGTAATTGATTGATTGATTAGTTACAGAATTATCAAAAATTTAATGTTTAATAACACATTAATAGCGATTTCCTGGTAAACGGTTACATTTGGCGGCTTGAAAAAGAATACATAATTTTTTCTGATATTGTTTCGCTCAAGAGAAAAAAGTATTGAACAAAACAAATTTTAAGTTCTAGGTAAATGCCCTCTAACGACGCATAATGAAACTTTTCTCTGACTGGTCCTTCATCTACTTTAGAAATATAGAGTTGGACGCGACTTTTTGTTTCAGCAAGCTGAATTTATAGATGCTAAACATTATGTACAATAACATACTAGTTTCCACAGTAATAAAAATGGGGGGAAGATTGTTTACAGGGCGGTTAATTGTATAATTTTTACGTAAATTCAGGTTTTTCGCTTATAACTATTTTTCGTTCATTTCCACGAGAAAACAGTAAAGTACTTTTTTTCGTCTTCAAAAGACCTACAAAACGAGCCCTCGAGCGTCAAAAAATATTGATTAGATCACAAGTTATAAACAGAAGAAGTTTATTTATGACTTTTGAATTAAATATTTATAAACTGTGTTATTATTACCAGAACGTTTTGGCGTCGCATCCTTTCATTCCTTATCAATGTCTAATAACTCACACGAAATCTGGAATCGGTAAGCTGAATAGTTTACAATTTATGGCCTTATAAACAAATTAACTAATTATTAGTTTGGACGATCCCGAGGATCTTCCACAATCGCATAGATTTTTTTCATGGTAGATTTCATAATAATATATCGAAATCTATAATTTTTTTTTGTTAATTTCAAATTTGCAACCTGGATAATTTTTTATTTTTTAGCCTTAGTTGCAAAATGAAATATACGACCATGAGCGTGATATAGTTATATATTATTACATATTCGGATAGCTTACGAAAAGAGCTTTAAGTTAAAAAAAAAATCGTCAAGATTCGTTGAAAAACAATGGAGACTGTCAAATATATTATTTTCAAGCGAATTTCCCTTATTTAACGGCAGGACTATGAATATTATCGACATTTTCTTCGGATTCGCTGTCGTTCGCTTCCCCCACCCTTCCGCCGCACCACGGCTCGCCGAAAATCAAGCGACCCACTGACTTTTGACAATATTTCTTATGCACTTAACATACTTCCACAAATAAAATATTTTTAGCTGGGAAAGTACTCGGGTTGCCGGTTTTGACAGTATTTTTTTGCTGCTACCAACCTAATTTGTTTAACAATATGCCTTCAACTTTGACAGTCTGTAACTCCGTTGTTTTTCAACAAATCTTGACGATTTTTTTTAACGTAAAACTCTTTTCATAAGATTTCCGAATATGTAATAATATATAACTATATCACACTCGTGTGTCGTATATTTCATTTTGCAACTAAGGCTAAAAAATAAAAAAAAATTCCAGATTGCTTTGAAATTAAAAAAAAGTGAATGATTTCAACGTATTATTATGAAATCTGTTTTTTCAAAAAGCCTATCAAATGAACTCAGTCATTATTTGACTTCATTTTTACAACACTTTTCAGTTTCACCTCGTGCCTCCTCGAACGCTAAAGCATTTATTAAATTCCAGAAGCGCCGACATTCAGCGGCGACGAAATTAAATTTGTTATAAAGATAAGGGCCCTCTAAAGTTGCCCGATGTCCCAGAGAAATTAGTACAATGTTTAATTAAACTATACCCTAATAGCCTTAAGTTTGTGGGTCACTAAAATTAGCATATCTATACATAGAATGTGCAGTGGAGGAACAATTGTAAAAGAATTATTCGCCCTGTATTGTTCGACCAAAGTCAGTTTATCCGCGAGATGTGCAACGGATTTCGTTCCTTAACCCTCAAGGTCACACTAGTGCGAATTCACACCACCGTTTTCTTTAAACAGCTGACATTTCTCCCCCCACCAAGATAATTCATTCTATAGCCCAAACAGTAGAGCCGTACCACAGCTGGAATCAGTCTGTTATTGTGGGCAAAACTAGAGAGTTGCAAAATCCGATCTGTGCGAATTCGCACTAGTGTGACTTTAGTGTGGGCAAAAGTGTGGCTAAATTTATATCAAATAATCTAGAAATAAAATGAATTGAAATGCAAATTTACGAATTTTTTTACTTCATTTTTCGTGTCGAACAGACTAGAACATTGTTTATCTAGTTATTGCTAATAATTTGTCGATCATTTTTTTTTCATTAATAATTTAATTGTAACATGTATTTGTCGATATTTATGGATAATATTGTTTAAATTAATATTCGTATACAAAAAAAGTGCAAAATAAACATCAATTTATAGAAATGGAGCCACAGAAAACACAACTTCAAAAAATGCCTATATTCGAGATACCAGAGAAAATCGATAATATCATTTTATCAATATGGGATATTTGTTTTCTTAAAAATATAGACTTTGAACTTCAAAATCCGTTTTTTATTTTTTCTCTAGCCATACATGGCGTTAATGAACTTATGTCAAATATTTTTGCCACATGTGCGTTATGTCAAAATGAGGTAAATACACGGATCTATGTTGAGTAAAATGTAATTTTAAAATCTGACTTACCTGAACATTGTAAAATGCCACCTTTTGAGAACTGCTGATTTTCATAGAAGATGTTCGATGTACCCACCATTTACTTGCACACAAGCTTCAGCTCGACGTACCCAATTCGCTCGCACGCGTTGCAACATTGCCACGTCCTCTCGAATCGTATTACAAGCTTTGTCAATACGATGTCGCAGTTGTCACGAACTTCCGTGGAATACACAACACTTTTCACATATCCCCACAAAAAGAAGTCTAAAGAGGTGAGGTCCGGGGACCGGGGGCCATCTAACTAGACTACCGCGGCCTATCTAGCGATCGGGAAAAGTAATGTTTAGAAAATCAAGCACTCTGTGAAAAAAGTGGGCGGGGGCTCCGTCATGCAGTAGCCACATATTTTACCAAATATTTAATGACACGTCTTCCAATAACTCTGGCAAGCCACTTTGCAAAAGATCTAGATATGAAGCACCGTCTAAGTGTCTAGGCAATTCAAAAGGTCCTATTAAAGTGTCATTAACGATACCGGGCCACATGTACACTGGAAACTCTTGCTGAAAGGCAATTTGATATAAAGGCGACTTTAATAATAAATTGGTACGGGCAAAGGGTAACATAAATAGAGGATAGTTCCTAGAATTCACTCTGGGAACTCTATACGACAACTGCTCATTAATGGACTCGCACTTAATTTTATATAAAAATTTTAAACTGTGCATGGTACGTCTGCTAGTAAGACTCTGTAGGTTAAACCGAGTACAGAATAATTAATTCTTGTGGAGTACCTCGAGCAGGATAAACCCCATCCAACAGAAATGCGGCAGATTTAAAAAATCTTCCTTTTACCCGTTTTAATAAGAAGGTATCTATATGTAACGTAAATTCGATTCCATATAACTGAACCATATTCTAATTTAGATCTTACAAAAGTTGTATACAATAATCTCAGAATGGACTGGTTTCTGAAGACTGGAGAGTTTCTCAAAACAAATGCGAGACTCCTATACGCAGCGGCTAAGGAACCGTGGATGTGCCGCAAGAAACTCAACTGTGCGTCAAAAATAATACCTAGGTCTTTAATACAATCAGGCCTCTTGAGAACACTGCCTTGCAATACATAATCGAACGTAATAGGCACATTTTTCCTATGAAAAGACATAACATTACACTTGCTAATATTAAGAGTCAACGTGTTTTTAATACACCAATCATTACGGAAAGCAAGATTACTCTGAAGATTCTCACAGTCCAAAACAGAGTTGATCTGACCAAATATTTTTACATCATAAGTGTATAATAAATAATGAATGTTTAGATCTTACGCAATATCATTAATAAAAATATCAAACAGAAGAGGTCCAAGTATGGACTCTTGAGGTACACCTGATGTCTGAAGAAATGTATCTGATTTGAACCCACGATATTGCACATATTGGGATCGGTTACGAAGATATGAATGAAATAATTTTATTAAACCATTACATAGACCTACCTTGCTAAGTTTGGAGTGATCGAGTTTATCGAACGCTTTAGAAAAATTCGTATAAATGATGTCTTACACGGTAAGTTTGAAATTGTTAACCGTCCTTGTATGAACCCGTACTGTTCAGGGATAATTATATTTGAAGTATGGGACGATATAAAATTGTGCACGGTACCTACACTTGACAAGCTCTGTGGGCATTTTCGTATGTTTCGCTATAAATTATGAGCATATCATAATATTCGCGATTGCTAAATAAATTGCGCCATTTTCAAAAGAAAACTTGGAAATACAGCTATTATATGGACTCTCGAAAAACAGCACAGCAATCACTACAACAGTGTATTACAAAATGACTTTCGAATACAGTCCTGTTTCATAAGAAACCTACAAACTCGTAAAGAGGTTACAGATTTTTTTGTAAGTATTCACCGCGATAAAATACATGTATTTCAGCAGTTCCAAAACTGTTTTATACACATTTTTAATTAGCTTTTTTCTCTATGACCTCAAACTTTCGATACAAGTTTGTGATATCAGTTAACTCAGTTTTTGCTCCTTTTTCACCCCTTTAAATTTTTGACGTAAGTTCATAAAAAAATACGAATTTAATCGCATTTCTTATTAAAAAATTATTATTTTTTTTTCAAATCTAATTAGGTACATCAATCAATTTCTCGGAAATTTTTATCCCAGTTTTGATATAAATACGTTGTTTTCGTTAATAAACAAAGAGGATGTAAAGGTTCAAAGTTGGTTTACTAAGGTCATTTTTATACAAAACGCGTTATTTTTAGCTGTTGATTCACCGGTACCATTTGTGCTACTTCTCTTAAAAACACCCTGTATAAGTGACTATAGGCGAAAACGTCGGTGCGGATGTCATTCCAATAAATGTTCTCAGCAGGAAATAATTAAGGGTTTCTCTTGCAGGACGACCGGGAGCCCCCAGGCGAAGTCCCCAGCAGGCAGCAGTCAGGGGAACATCCCCGCAGAAGCACGGACTCCGACTGCTCCTGCCAACAAGGCGCTGCAGAATGTCAAGGGGGACCACCCATCGGTAAGCCAGGATGTAAGCATGATCTGTTTATTACTATTTTATAGACCTTAAGGCTGTGGCGGCGCCAAAACGTCTCTGAGAATAATAATATACCGTCCCTACTTCCACACAATCTTCTGCTTCAGGGCTAATACTTGTGAAAAATATAACGGTTCTTTTTTTCGCGTTTATACTCACGTAATATCACACAAAAGAGATTAAAGTTTTCAGAGACATTTTGGAGGTTCTACAAAACTATCTTCTCGTAAAACTGAACCTAAACTGCTCGATTGTTGCTCCTTCTACTCTTCGTGTAAGCGTATGTCTGTACATGGCCTCAGATTGTTCGTAAATTGGTAACATAGGTTAGTGTCATGGTGGTTAATTGGTAATAGATGTTAATATAACCGGTAGCTGTTTATGATTTACAAGGGGAAGGTGGGTGTAACTGATTTGTAGTTTAACTGGTTGCATACAAGAACAACGCATACCCTTATTGTCGGGTTATAATTAATTACGATTAAGACACCAAAGCTATAATATGTGAGTTGAATGTTGTGCCTATCAATCGTACCATTTTTTTTATTGATGTTAACGTTACATCTTCTCTATGTGTAAAATTGTACTAAAACTTGCCTGCGTACTGTATATATGTTGTATTAACCTGTGTACATATAAAATAGTTGTTGTTGGGTGTTGTCTTAATGTTAAATGTTATATGTATCAATTTTGTGGGATATTATATACCTTAGAAGTGTTGTTTTTGTCTGATGATTCGTGGTTTCATTTTGAAATACTACAGTGTTAAAAAGATTTTCCTCATGTATATAGTAAATCTGTAATTTGTCACTTCATTCTACATTCATGTCTCAATATTTGAATATGCTAATTTACTAAATATATTAATTAAATACTCGTACATTTGAAAGCAAGAAAACACCGTTTGTGAAAATAACAAATCGACGCAAGTACGTCAATTTGTCAACGTTAATACATGCCAGAGAAAATACTAATAAAATTATGCAGTACTTAGTACAAGAGACTATTATGCTCTATTCAAAATTTAATTCAGTTTGGAAAAATATAGTTTTCAGTTTGTTTCAATTTTTTTTTATTGATTCATCAAAATATCATGCCTGGTGATAACCAATGTGTTTTCCTGATAAATCGTTTGCAAATATACAGGGTGTCTTTTGAAAATTTGGGATACCGGGTTTTCGGGCATGCCCTTCTCAACTAAAATATGGCGTCCAGGTACCACTTCCGGTTATACCGGAAGTCGTCATCAGCTTGCTTATTTTAAATGGAACACCCTATATATTATTGCAATTTTGGATTCTACGTGTTATTTTAGGTGGACTTTTATGAAGTTTCCCTATTCCTAAAATTAACCGTTTCCGAGATATTTAATTTTTTTCAAAAAAATTGAGAGAAACAGTGACTAGCTTCAAACCATGTGTATTTTATAGTAAGAAAGATAAAGCAACAATATTTATAGGAGGAATAGCTAGACCCCTAAGCTTCCCATCCATACTTTCAAAGTGGCTTAATTGCATACAAGGTGCTAAAAATTTAATGCCGAGTTTAGTTATCTTCAAACCTTCGTAAGTCGGTTTTTTTTTAAATTGAATACCCTATATGTTTTTCTATATTCTGATACACAATTTTATTCTCTTTCGATGATGATTTCTACGATAACTAGACGACAAATCATCATTTTTTACTCAAAAACCGCTGACGCTAAAAAATTCTAAACTTCAGATCCGAAAACTAGACATTTGAAGCTTCAAATTCCTTTCTTTTATTCTCTCCATTCTCCACCATATTTTATTGAACGCAAGATGAAAGTAAGTATTTCTTAATTCACATTTAATATTCGTTATTTCTTTTTGCAATCTACTTTTTAAATTCATTTTGGAAGCTACACTTAGAGGTTGTTGTTATTATGAAGTCCAATAAGGCGTCAGTTTACTGATTTAAATTAATTACTTGTAGCGCACTATAAGTATGAGTTGTGTACATGTGAATAGGAAGATTATGACGTTTCAACTTGACAGATGTTGACTAAACAATTAACTATTAATTCAACATATTTGCTTTTTAAATAGTGCAATGTTAAACTTTATTGCAGTAATTGGAGTTAGATTTAACTTGCACTAAAAGATCTTATTCTGAATAATTTTCTTGACGTATGACTTGGCAGGCTCGCAATTCGTTGCTGCGCAAGAAAAAATGATAGCTTTTCATGTGTATTGGTTTTTTCAATAATGTCTTCATAAAATATTGTGATTTTGAAAAACGACACACTGGAATCATGGACATGTCGAAAGTGACAGTTAAAATATACGAAAGTATTTAACATCCATCCTGTACAGTGTGAAAAATCCGCTCGCAAATCCCTTCAAAAGAGCTGTGTCAATTAAGGACTACCAACGAAACCCGATACAAGTTCAAAGCGGTCGCCGCTTCTTTTATTTTTATCCCGAGATTAGACCCGTTAGCTTTTTCAATTTCCCTTTAGAACAGTTCTTAATGAATGCAGAAAAGCGTTTCGAATTAGAATTTTCAGTAAACTAATTGAACTGGGTACTAATTACAAAGTAATATATAATAGGTTGTTGCGAAACTGCGAGAGAAGCTTGATTTTGTCCTCAGTACTGTTTGTTTTTTCGTGGCGTGTAGTATTTCGTGTCCCTACCCCATCGTGTATTATATAGAGTTGTTGTCGTTAGGCGCTATGAATAATTTAAAGGTAATGCCATTATAATATTAACTAATATTACAGCGTAATGTTCGGTCGTCAGGAAATGTTTCAATAGAAAGAATTTTACTGTATGGGTATGGATAAAAGAATAAAAGAATAACCAATCGTGCCGGGAATGAATTATTGAAAAGGCAATAGAAATTATGCTTTTATTCTTTTAGCATCCGTTTGTTGTTGTTTCAGATGGCTTTCCTGCAAAACCGCTCAATATCTCTGGTGGATATGTACATTGATAACTCGGAACCGTCGGAAAACGTTGGACAAATCCACTTCTCGTTGGAGTACGACTTTCAGAACACGACGCTCATACTTAGAATCATACAGGTAAGTGTAAAACCATCATACATATTTCGATATTCTGCTGGATCAGTGTATTTATTATACTATTAAAACTTGTAGGGGGCCAAAACTTGAACCTTGAGGGACCCCCACTCGGGCAGTAACTATTTTTAGTTTTCTTCATAAAAATCCGCGCAAACCGTATTTTCTCTAATGTAATAAAGTCTAGCTGCAGCGGAAATGGAAATAGGGCATAATAAAATTTCAATATGAAGCCGTGAGTAGACATCAAAGCGTTGCGGAGTCAGTGACGAAGTTAGCACCGCCGCCCGGTTAATTTTAATAAAAGCGCCCGATTCGCTCGTGTGTGGGATGCAATTTTATTATTCTAATGAGCGTCGTTCGTTTTTCTCGTCGTTCCGCCCGGATAGTCAATGTCGCTGCTTTATTAAAACTAAATCTATGGGAAATAGACCGCAATATCTCACGTACCAACGTGTGGGTATTATCGCGTTTGCAAATAATTAATTTTATACGCGATCGGGCGTTAAAGTACACTTTAACGATCTCCTGTTTGGGCGTAAGACATAACTTTAACATCCCGGAGTGGTAAAGTAACTTAATCGCTCTGGAGTGATAAAGTAAACGCGTTTGCAATTAATTAATTTTATACGCGATCGGGAGTTAAAGTAACACTTTAACGATCTTCTATTTGGGCGTAAGACATAACTTTAATGTTCCGGAATGGTAAAGTAATTTTATCGCTCTGGAACGATAAAGTAAATTTTATTATGTTTGCAAATAATTAATTTTATACGCTATCGAGCGTTCAAGTACACTTTAATGATCTCCTATTTGGGCGTAACACATGACTTTAACGCCCCAGTGTGGTAAAGTAATTTTATCGCTCTGGAGCGGTAAAGTAAATTTTATTGCGTTTATACGCGATCGGGCGTTAAAGTACAGTTTAACGATCTCCTATTTGGGCGTTTGACATAACTTTAACGCCCCGAGGTGGTAAAGTAATTTTATTGCTCTGAAGCAGTAAAGTACATTTTATTGCGTTTGCAAATAATTTTATCTATAAGTCAGCAGACTTTTTATGGCCTGCTTACTGGACATAAAACACAACTTTAACGCCCCAGGATGATAAAGTAATTTTTTCGCACTAGGGCGGCAAAGTAAGTCTTAATACATTTGCAAATAATTCATTTTGCATTATGGGGCGTTAAAGTACATTTAAAACCTGCTTACAAACATAAAACACAGCTTTAACGCCGTAGGGTGATAAAGTAATTTTATTGTATGAAATAATAAGAATGTAGATGTTATTACGTTTGCAAGTAATTAATTTTATACGCGATTGTTAAAGTACATTGAATGATATACCTACCGGGCACAAAACACCACTTTAACGCCCTAAGGCGGTAAAGTAATCGTATCGCCATATGGGTTTAAAATAAGTCTTATTGTATAAAGCGTATTTAATAATCTGCTTACCTGTTGTAAAATACAACTTCAATGCCTTAGGACTTTAAAATAATTTTATCGCCCTATAGTATGAAATGACAAGAATGAGGATATTATTACATTTGCAAGAAATTATTATTTTACGCGATTTAGGATGTAGGTATTACATGTTTGCGATATCCTACTTACCGGGCGCAAAACACAACATTAACGCCATAGAACGAAAAAGTAATTGTATATTTGCTACTTTATACATGACTGGGCGTTAAAGTACACCTTATCGGGGCGTAAAATACGACTTTAATTCCCTAGGTCGGTAAAGTTTTATTTCGTTTGCTAATAACAAACTTTATACGCGATCGGACGTTTAAAGTTCATTTAATAACATGATTACAAGGCATAAAACGCAATCTTAGCTTCCTAAAGCAGCGGTCGGCAATTGGCGGACCGCGGAAGGTAAAATACTGGACTGCCAAAAATTTTTTGAAAGTATAAATTACTCAAATAAATTATTTAAAAAATATTTATTTACGTTTGACTGCCACCCTTATAGTTTTTTCTAGTATTTTACAATTGTGTGACTGATTAGAGTGCAAATTAAAATAAAAAATTAGTAATATGAATTTTTTTTCTGGACCTCGTTAAAAATTTTTAAAAGTATTCGGACCGCACCTAAAGTTACTTGCCGAGCCCTGCCCTAGAGCGTTGTCCAGTTGGTGAACTGCACTTCGCGAGGTTCAACGTTCAACATAGGTTTCGGATTGTTTTTCCAGAAAAATTTAAACATGCGTCAAAATTTGGGCCATTCGTGACGTTCTTTGGCGGTCGCTGTGGACGTCATCTACTCAAAGTTAGTTTGTTTTAAAATTAAATTAATGTAATTAAGGACAAAAATATTTCGTGTATAAAATTTTGTATTCATCTCGTTCTACTGCCTTAAGCATGCAATAGCCTCCGACAGAAACCTACTTTACGCCCTTGATACATAAATAACTATTAATTAACATAAAATGTAGCTGCTCTCTGTGGAACCGAAAAAACCTCAGACCGCAGTCGACATGGTAATTTTCCGGCAAATGTGTATCCGACGATCTCTTAAATTATTCATTATTTCCCCCCAATCGACTCCCCTTTTTGTCCGGCTTGTTTCGGGAATAAAATCAACTCGCTTCTAAATAATCGCGTCCATTCGATAGCTCCGCAGTTCGGAGGGATTTTTTTTGGGTACGCGCCACTTTTTGCATTTATTCCACACGCGTTCGCGTTCTAATCCACCCCGATAATCCACTTTCACGGTAGTGACGAGGGTGCAACCTTTCTGTCGTTTTTAAGGATGAGAAAAGATTGGCCCGTCGTAACAAATGATTTAATTTTCGTTTTTGTTTGTTTCGATTTGTTTCCCATTCATCTAGACACCGCCTAAACGATTCGGAAATAATGAGAAATAATTTTCGATTTTGTAGCAACGAAACGACCTATTCATCTATTCGGAACCTTCTTTTTTATCAAGCTGAGATAAAACACAGCGCCGTTCGGCTAAACTATATTCATTCTCGCTTCCATAGCCGTTATGCATTATCGCCATCCGGCTCGAAGGACCATTTAAAACTTATAACCACATTACGCCGGCGACTCGCACGGTGCATCTCGCATAAAAGTACGTTTAAACTCGATTTTACGGATGGACGAACGGCATTACATAGCTGTTATTGAGTTTGGGGCCGTCTCATTTTAAATACAAAACAGGAACGGCCGGCAGTTAGATTGAAGCGCCCTCTTTATGTCGCCATTACGCTGATGTACGGTTATCCGAGGTTCGCAGCACCGGAAAATCGGATACAAAAAATTTAATAAGGCGTATGGTCCAGAGCGAACGTTACTTGGCTAATAGGTCGCTTTGAAGGAACTGAATAGTTTTACAGATCATTAAAATGGTCATAACTGACTCGAAATCTGACAATTTTTACGTTCTATGTACTTACACTCCAATGCCAAAATAGTAGCCAGTGAATCATTCTCAATACGGAATCCAATTCCATGGGCGTATCATTTTAGAGGACACAAAAATTGTTTAGCACAAAACCAATATATGTCGATTTTGGTAAAACTAGATAATGCTTACAAATTTACACTCATCTTATCATACACATCTTTTTTTAACCCGTTGGCGGACTTAGAAAAAATTAATTATAAAACTTTTTTACTCTTGTTAGTTTTCAAAAAATTTTGTCGTTTTCAACAAAAACACGAATAACTAGCAATACATATAGTAGCTGTGTTATTTAAAATCATCGAAAATTCAGAAGCTGGCTATAAATTTAAAGATCAAACTTGACGATCAGGACGATAAACTTACCTGGAATGTGCACTTGGAAAAAGTGGTGAGTAAGGCGAAGTAGACATTGTGTGTATGCCGTCGCCTTATTGGGAGCACCTAGGGACTGAAACCAAAGATGTCATACTGGTTATATACATCCATAGTAAGACCTAGGATTCTCTACGGCGCTGTGGTATGGTGGCAAAAAACACAACAGACCACAGCGAGGGAAAAACTGAATAGAATTCAGAGATTGGCCTGTTTAGGTATAACGGGGGCGATGGCATCGACCCCGACAGCTGCATAGAAGTCATGCTAAATCTACCACCGCTGCATATAGTGGTGGAAAGAGAAGTGCGGCTAGCAGCATATCGACTCAGGAATAACAACGATTGGAGGGGTAGTTCCTATTCCAGGATTATAGACACATCTATGTCGGAACCAACTTTTGCGATGGTATCTGACAAGATGGTTCCAAGGTTTCACTTCCACAGGCCTTTTGAGACTCGAATAGAGGATCAAAGCAAATGGAAGGAAAGGTTTAATACCCTGGAAAGGTGGAGCCTAGTATACAGATGGCTCCAAAATGACCAGAGGGACGGGTGCAGGAATATATGGATTCAGACCCAGATGGATTGCAAGCTACAGTCTGTGGGAGTTCCCTACCGTATTCCAAGCAGAAATTTTAGTGATAATGGCGTGTCTGGCACAGAATGTACGTAGAGGTTATAAACGTAAACTCATATATATTCTCTGATAGTCAAGCTGCAATTAAAGCTTTGGGCGCACACAAGATAAGTTCAAAACTGGCGTGGGATTGTTTACAAATGCTGACCGAACTGGCCACCAACAATACAGTCAGACTGTGTTGGGTGCTAGGTCATAAAGGCATTTGTGGAAATGAGAAAGCGGATGAACTTGCTAGGAAGGGATCCGAAATAGAGTTCATTGGCCCGGAGCCCTTCTGTGGCACATCTCCCAGTGTGGTCAGGCGGGCTCTGGGCAAATGGACTGAGACAGAACATAGGAAATTCTGGACTTCAAGGCCAGGACATAGCCATTCTAAGGAGCTCATGGAGTATCCTTCGAAGGAAAGAGCGAATGATTTACTGAGCTTGAACAGAATCCGGCTCAGGAGAGTGACAGGACTCATAACGGGACACTGTCACTTTAGGAAACATCTACATAAGCTAAAGCTTGTAGACAGTCCGGTCTGCCGAAGATGTGAATTGGCGGATGAAACTTCTCTGCATATCCTGGGCGAGTGCCCGAGATTTGCACGTAGCAGAATGGCGCTCCTTGGGAGACCCTATTTGGAACCCAAGGAACTGATAGAAGTGTCAGCAAGGAAGCTTTTGGACTTTGTAAAAAGGACAAATCTACTTGCTGAATAGGACTAGTAGTGGGACGCAAAATAGGCCTAATCAGGCCGCAGTACTATGGGACTATTAGGACCAACCACTAGAAGTAGAAATAGTAGTGACGATCAGGAAAAAGTTGCAATGAGAATAATTTAATAGAAAAATAAACAACTTAAACAGAAATAACATACAATTTGCATTGATAAGTTATAGAAATTGTTCAAAATGATCACCGATTTCTCTCAGGCATATTATGATTAATGATCTCACTAGTATTTTAACACTTATACCCCCACTTGTACGCCTAAGACACGCACTGACACGCCTCAGCTAGAAGCGGAGACATGACGCTATATCGAGAAGAGGCGCTGGTAACAAAAAAAAGGACATTCCAAGTGTGCGCGCGCAGGTTGTACATATCGGAACACTATGCGAAATGAATGGCACATTACAATTTCCATTGAAAGAATACAAAGTTATTTTATCGGATTAATGAATAGTAAAAATCCTGACTATGTTGCCTCCTATTTGGGCGCTGGAGTATAAACTTTCAGTGTCGATTGTTCGTGTGGTGCTCTGGCTTTTCCGTCGCGCAAATAATTATTTTATCGTCTCCCGACTGCCGAAGGATCTCCGTCTATCGCGTAAAACTCGCATAAACGGACCCCAAACAGCGCTACGACTTCATAGTTTATAGGCGGAGAAACTAAATGATTCAAATTCTCAGTTAAAATCGCGGCGGCATCGTAAACAGTCCTCACTTTATTCAACACTTCGCCCCAGTAAAACCGTCAGATTAGGGAATCCGGGTGGGATTTAATTAAATCCGTGTGCATGTGTGCAGTTTTCACCGGAGCAACTTAGTCGGCATTTTGCTATCTTTGTCGGGATTTATAAGAGTAAATCTGTGCCCGAGGATTTAAGGAGTTAGTTAAATTTGTGTCGCATTAGAACGTACAACAGTTAAATTAATAGACAAAACGTACTTAAGTTGAATAAAAAAACAAATAAATGAATTTGAGCAAAAACCATGTCACTGAACTCTCGTTATTAGAATTTTCCAAAACTCCCAAAACAGCATATAACAACAATAAACATGTCAAAAAGATTTAACTGACACATCAGTAAATATCTAGACACCGAAAACTGGTGACAATCAAATAAATAAACAGTTGTAATCTATATTAGGTATGCTAGTAAGCGGCAATACGTGTTGTAGTAGCAGAAATAGGCTAAATTTGTGGTCAAACTGTGTGCCACTGTATACTAACAACACACAATGATACTGTCTGCCATAAAAACACTTACCATACACTCGACCAAGCAAAGCTTCAAATTCACTCACACACGCACAAACGACAATGAAATGCATGACCGACAGAGTAGGTATTAGGGTGCCGCTAGATACGTATCGAATAAATTGATCGATGTGAAGTATTGTATAATGACGCGAATAGCGAGATTACTAAGATGTGAAGTAGTTGATGCGTCGCCACCATTAATAAGAATAGCATCTATTAAAAACTTCGACTATTTTAGATGTGCTATTGTGACCTCGGTAAATGTTGAACTGTCATTTTCGTTTTTGAAATGGGTATTTACCGATCACCGGAGACAATAACACTTAGGACTGTTAATTATTTTCTAGAATCATTTTTCTTATGAGTAAGCCATTATTATTTACTGCAGAGTGCAGCGATTATCACTTTTTGTTTAAATAAAATTACATAAAAGAGAAGAGAGTTATCAAAAAAAGCCTCAGATAAAACTTATAGGACATCAAGAAACCAATATTGGATTAGGTAGAACGGAGATCAACTTGAAAATATTAAATTGAACAACCTTTTTTAATTTGATAGTTGATCTTGGTTTGAACTTGAAACTTAAGTCAAGGTCAAATGCAAGGTCACCAGCATATTGGCTTCTTGATATCCTACAACATTTATCTGAAACTTTCTTTTGATACGACTCAATCCTAAAACGTTATCGGGAGATTCGGGTTCTTTTGGAGCACCCTTTATATTAAAAAAAGCTTAAAAATACATAAAAAGGAACTAATAATAAATTTAAGGACACAGTGGTCGTAAAACCTTAAGGAAGGAAGGGGACCTCAAAAGTGAATATACAGGGTGAGTCAGAAAGATTGGGTCAACACTAAACTGGAGGTACTAGACACCAAAATATTATGTTTGAGCTCATCATGCCTTATTCGAACGTCGCTGGTTTAGGAAATACAGGGTGTTCAAGGTTTCAATTTTTTTCTGAAATTTCTCAATAACTAAGAAAGTTTTGATAGCATGACTCTGAAACTTAGTAGTATTGGACTTTTTGGTGTGAAAATTACGAATTTGAAGCTTATTTTGACGTTGTTCCAAGAGGGCGCTAGTTTCACCGTATTTTTTAGGTAAATCAGAACATATTTTTATTATCTGTTGAGTTATTCTTTAAAAAAGTTAAAATCTAAAAGAACGTTCAATTCTGCATAAAAAATGCACTCTTGTTTAGGTCGCCTAACTTTATCGGCTTCTGAGTTATTTGCAGTTAAAAGTTTCAATGTATTTTGTGGTGATTTTCTTTCAGGCGCTGATATTGCTATTTCTTTTCTAAGGAGACTTGTGTCAAATTTTCATGTTAATAAATATTAACGTATTTTGCGTGCGTGTAATTTATTATTCATGCAAAATTATCAGCTAAAAATGCCATGACATAATAATTTTTCCAACAGTGAGATGCATGGTATGATTTGAGTTCTTGCTCAGGCTAATTTTAATGAACATGCGAAAATTGTACCCAAACAGATTACCTAATTATAAACTATTCAGAAATCGTTTCAATCGCTTAGGCGGATCTGGATCTTTTCGACCAAAAAGTAACCATGGTACTCCCAAAATCTATCACAGTCGATGAAGAAGAGCACTCGTACTCGTCGGTTAAGTGCGGCAACGGGGGTAAGCCAATCGTCCATTTGTAGAATTTTGAAAAAATAAATGCTCCATCCATGTCATTATACTCAGGTTCAGCAGTTATTGCCTCAAGATTTACCAGCTCGCCTACAATTTGCTCAGTTTATACACAATTTGCAAACGGAAAAACCAGATTTCCTCAATAAGATTTTATTTACTTATGAGGCGACATTTACTAGACGAGGAGTTTTCAATTGGAAGACCAATCATTTGTGAAATTACTGTTATCAATAACTGTTATTGTTATTTTCATCTTTTGAGAACAAAAAATTACCACAAAATACATTGAAGCTTTTAAATGCAAATAACTCAGGAACCGATAAAGTTAGACGACTTAAACAAGAGTACATTTTTTATGTAGAATTGAACGTTCCTTTAGATTTTTAGTTCTTTTTAAGCATAGCTCAACAGATAAAAAAATATGTTCTGATTAACCTAAATAATAATGGTGAAACTACCGCCCTCTAGGAGCAACGTCAAAATATGCTTCAAAATCGTAATTCTCACACCAAAAAACCCAACACTACCAATTTTCAGAGTCATGCTATCAAAATCTTCTGAATTATTGGGAAATTTCAGAATAAAATTTAAACTTTTAACACCCTGTATTTCTTAAACCAGCGACATTCGTATAATGCATTATGAGTTCTAACATAATATTTTGGTGTCTAGTATCTCCAGTTTACTGTTGACCCATTCTTTCTGACTCACCCTGTATATAGCAAATTAGTTTAAGGAATCAATTTTTGTAAAAGTAAGACCACATTATGAAACGAAAAATTCTAGATTTGCTAATTGTTCTTTTATTAAAATACAATACTTTTGAGAAACAGGTTTACGAAAATAAAAATAATAACTATAAATTCTGATGGTGAAAACAAGACGAAAAAAACAAATATTACTTTAGTAACTTCAAGAGGAAATAAAAAAAATAGTTTATCTGCAGGAATACAACTTGGTTCTGATATACAGATAGTCTCCAAACAATTCAAAATAAAAGATTCAGTGTAAAATTTTTTTATTTACATGTAGAATTCCATCGCACAAAATTTATGGCGCCAACGTGAGGGCAGTCAAAATTTAAAATCAAAATTAAAAGTAAAAAAATTCTAATCGTATAGTAAAGGCAAACAAGAATTCTTCAACACGTACAAATTTTGGCGCCCGACGTGGGGGGAAATCAAATTCCAAAATAATAGAATTGTAAAATCCAAATTCCTATACAGTACATTATCCGGAAAAAGCGACAAAGAACTCTCTCACGTAAATATATTCAACAAATTTAAATTAAACGTTAAACTATCCCCTTTTTATGCGCCACGTGTTTCCCTTGCGTTGGTAATTTCCCTTCCCTTAAGTAGATCGCCCCGATAACATCTCCAGAAATTGAATCTCGTTTGTATCGACGTCATTCCGACGATAATCTATCCCTCTCCGAGAAAGGGCGACCTGTGTCGCAGGCAAACCGATCGCCGAGCAATCAGGTGTGGCGCCGCGGTGCCCTCCCGCCGCTTTTTTCCACACGTGACCGATTTATCGCATTTGACGCGTCCGTGGACCCCATCCCGCGCCACAATCGATCCGCTTACCTAACAGAATGTATAACATACGTCCCCGAGGGTTCTACCGATACCTTTCCGACTCCGATTTTGTGCGGTTCCCCACGTTGGGCGCCAAAAACTACACGTTTGCGTTTTCAGGGTAAAGACCTGCCGGCTAAGGACCTTTCGGGCACCAGCGACCCCTACGTCCGCGTGACCTTGTTGCCCGACAAGAAGCACCGGCTGGAGACGAAGATCAAGCGACGGACGCTGAATCCGCGGTGGAACGAGACCTTCTACTTCGAGGGCTTCCCCATACAGAAGCTGCAGTCCAGGGTGTTGCACTTGCACGTCTTCGACTACGACAGGTTCAGCAGGGACGATTCCATCGGCGAGGTGTTCCTGCCCTTGTGCCAGGTGAGTGACAAACCGAAACATATTTATCACTAAGTCATAGTTTAATTTATGTAATCACCCCAGGAAAAGAAATGAGACCTCATTTGCCTTAATAAGTTTGTAAGAAAAAATAATATTATTGTCAAAGACAGGTAGTTGCTTCTATTTATACGATACTACCCCCATGATGGAGTCGTCATCAGTTATTATGTTTCATCTGGGTCACTATGATTTGATCTGACGCGACATTCTCAATTTTCCGTCATACTTTTAATCACAGCCACACAGAAAAAAAAAGTTGGGTATACTTTTTATGCGACATATATTTTTCGTAGTAATTTGGCCTCCTGAACACGAATCTGGGGTCAGAATTGGCCCATCACTTCACAATTTTTTCCTAACCTCAAAAAACTTGTGAAAAATAGTGAAAATTGATGAAAATTTACTGGGAAAATTTGGAAAAAAATTTATTTCCACATCAAATAGTACACTTTTATGTAAAACACTCTGCTCAATTCAAATCCACTGTCAGAATTGAGCTAGAACGTGTGGTTTTTTTTCTAACCTCAAAAAACCGAGCAGGAATCGCTATTTTCAAATTCTGAGCGGATTTTGATCAGATTTTGTATAAAGGGGTCTTTTGGGTCGCTGATTACGAATATGAATTCACATTGTAAAAATTCAAGATGGCTGATCCAATATGGCGGGTGTACTTTTTTGAAATCCACCCATTTCAGTAAAATTTGGCTTCATAAAGATTGCTGGTTGATCTCACCTTCATTAATCACACATCTGGAACCAGATTTTCATAAATCAAGGTAAAATTTGTAGGCAGAGTCATAATTTTAGGCCGAGTAGGCGGCATTTTTTCGGCAAAGTCACATTTTTAGATTGAAGGCATAAGCAGATGCAGTGATGTGCTGTGTGGCAATAATGTGTCCTTTTCCTTGAACTTTAACATTATTAAGAAATAAAAGCATCTAAATGCCATAGGAAAACTGCATAGTAGTTAAAAAAATCTGACTGGAAAACCATAAGCCCATGCACGACTAAATAAATGAAAGAATAAAGTAGAAACTTTTTTGTCTTGTCCCATGGAAATAAGCACATCACACTACACATCATTACATGTGTAGAGTCCTTAAGTAATTTTTTTAAGCGAAGTCACATTTTTAGACGGAGTGGAATCTTTTACCTTGATTTATGAAAATCTGGCTCCAGATGTGTGATTAATGAAGGTGAGATCAACCAGCAATCCCTATGATGCCAAATTTTACTGAAACCGGTGGATTTAAAAAAAGTACACCCGCCATATTGGATCAGCCGTCTTGAATTTTTACAATGTGAATTCATATTCATAATCAGCGACCCAAAACACCCCTTTATACAAAATCTGGTCAAAATCCGCTCAGAATTTGAAAATAGCGATTCCTGCTTGGCTTTTTGAGGTTAGAAAAAAAACCACACGTTCTAGCTCAATTCTGACAGTGGATTTGAATTCAACAGAGTGTTTTACATAAAAATGTACTATTTGATGTGGAAATAAATTTTTTTCCAAATTTTCCCAGTAGATTTTCATCAATTTTCACTATTTTTCACCAGTTTTTTGAGGTTAGGAAAAAATTGTGACGTGATGGGCCAATTCTGACCCCAGATTCGTGTTAAGGAGGCCAAATTACTACGAAAAATATATGTCGCATAAAAAGTATACCCAACTTTTTTTTTCTGTGTGGCTGTCACAACTGAGCAGGATTTTCCTTGATGCAAAGCTATAAGCAGCTTTAAGCTGACAAACAAGTGATGTGTACCCATCCTTTCTTTTTCCGACAATTTAGTTGACGTAGAGAAGATTATTACTTAAAAGTGATTTGTCCACACATACAGTAATTTCCTGGGTGTCATGACCTGCTACGTTTTTTTAATAAGAAACAAAGAAATTACTTAAAATTGAGATGAAATTTACAAAAATATTAGTTTTATTTAATGTCGCGAGAGTTAGAGCACAGAAAAGTCTTCAAATTCTAAGCTTCCTGGCGCAGGAGAGACCTGGTGCACTCTTTCACTCTTTAAAAAGCTAACAAAAAATTGACAGTGCAGTATTCCCTGACATGTGCACAGCAAATCACTTATTACTATACTATATTACTATTATTGAATTAATAATTTTCGTTCACTAATCTTTATATACAGGGTGTTTCTGAAATAAGAATTCCTTGAAAAGTGTGATAGCGGACTAAAACATCTTAAATTGAAAAAAAATACTGCAACACACAACGCACGTGCACAAGATGCAGGGGTCGGCTTACATTTATGGTTAATTTTCTTAATTAATTTTCTCAAAAACAGGAGCATTTAAACCAACAGTTGCTTGCAATTCTTCTCAAAAAACAAATCATCATCATAAAAAAATCGCCGTTGGATGATAAAGAATTTACCCACCCTTTTCTACTAATCCTTCATGATTTTTTTAGCAATAGATCCAATTGGTTTCTTCTTAAAAAATGTTATTATTAGTCTAGAATCTTTTTCAATATTCACGTTCTCTTTCACAGCCAAAGATTTTTGGTTTTAAATTTGTCAACCAAATAAGCGAATAGAGTATTTTCATGAATACTTGTGCCTTTTTTGCGATACACCATCGGGGCAGTAAATCTTCTCTTACTCGATTCCATTTTTTTTTAATTTCAAGATTTAGCGTAAGATCCAGTAACAGATACAAACAATATGGCGACTTGAACCACGCTGTATTGTTTATGTTACAGTAGTAACGAAGAATATGTAACATCTATTAAATGTTGGACAACAAAACAGACTGCAGTGGGTAAAGTTTTTAATAGATAATTTTTTAAAAATTTAACATTATAAAAAATGCACGATTGTTGATAACTTATTGTATATAATACCGTGGTAACTGGGATTTTATAGCATTCGATTTATTGCAACATTAAACCGTGAACAGTTTAAATTTAAGCAGAATCATATCCTGTTTTGAACGCTTATGAAGGATAACGACCTCTGAAAAGTTGCTACTGCTAGCTGACTTCGCACCTGGTATGATATGACAGGATGGGTAAAATGGGTAAAAAACAAACTGCCACGTTATTCGGCGAAACGGAAATGACCGACGAAATACGTCATCACGGTTACGAGGTCTTTGCAGTGTATGCGTATAACCTAATAAAGTTCGCCTACGGCTCGTTTTGCAGTCTTCAATATCGTGCGGTAAAAACCTAATTACCACCCTTATTATATAATATACGACATCGCTCACGTATTAATAAGGGATGTTGCATCATCGACCTCTTACCATTATGTAGTTGCATAACTTCCTGTGATCGCCGATTCGTAAGGCATTTAACTGTAATACCGCCACGTTGTTGCCACGCGTACGGAAGCCCCTTCCAACTCAAAGGCGGCAACAGCTGTACAGAATTTAATTAGAGGCATATTAATTCGAGCGGGGACTCCTGTTAATCATATAAAGAAAATTAATTACACCGACAAAAGTTCGCTAAGGGGAATTCCCGGCCGCGTTGATGTTTGGCGGCCATTTGTTGCGGCAGCGCTACGTAACGCTCGCGAGGGAGTTCGGCCGGTTTGTTTGAATTATTAAACGGCTTACATCTCGAATGGTCCGTCAGACTTGCGCTCGCTTTGCGGCGAAACGCGCTAGTTATTCGACGGGGACTAGGGGGAAGGGGGTTAAAAAGTGGAAATTCATAGCTACAAGCTGAACAAAATTACCGGTAATATGAAACCTCACATCTGACGCGTCATCGGTGAATGACGTCACTAGCAGTGGTTTAGTTAGTCTCCAATCATAAATGACATGTAGGTAATATTACTTTTTTACTATCAATTTCCGTCTAGTGGCATCAAGTGTAACACCGCAAGCTTTAGTCGTTTCATCCATTACATATTTCACGCATTTAATTCCTTTTGTGCAATTATTATTAATGATTTAACGCTTAATATTGTGATTTCGATTCAATTCTGTAATATCTCCGTTTCTCCATGTCGGAAAATTTTCTATTCGTTGACTATTAATATCCTCATGGAAATCTCCTGTTCGTCGCGACTCAAACAAATAATGTAAACTATTCTTCATTGTTGGAAGTTCATTGGTGAGGCGCATTATCAGCGGCCCGTTTTTCAAATATCCCACTGTCCACATCTTCATTGCAATCTCCTGTAAGTCGTGACTTAAACACATATAAATAATTCTACAGTGTTGGAAGTTCATTTTTAAAATATAATCCGGGAATCTTCATACGTACAGTATACTTTATACAGGTTGTCTTACCGTGACGGTCTATTAGTATATTTTAGAGACTTCTTCGATTTCAATTTTGAAAATTTAGGCGTTAGGGTTTTCGAGGGTGCTCTCTTTAAATAAAATAATGCCATTGCTGCTTATTTTAAATGTATATTATTGCATTATCGACAAGATAGATGGTTCCGAGACAATCGACATTTTATAAAAGTTTTGACATATGCAAGCGTTTCTAAAATTCCTTATATTATGTTTCTTCGTTCTGGATTTGAAAACTTCAAAAATTTCTATAAAATGTCGATTATTTCGAAAACGATTAGTTTTAGGTAGAAAGTTGGAACACTTTTGACTTATTATTAATTTATCTTGTCGATATTGCAATAATATACAGGGTGTCCCATTAATATTGCGAAAAAATCCAAGGGGAGTTTCCTTGACCAAAAATAAGAAAGAAAGTTCCTATAAACCCATGTCCGAAAATGCTTCGTTTCGAAGATACAGGGTGTTGAAATTTAGAGAATATACAAGGTTTTTACTAATATCGGGAGAATTCTAATTCCGATTTTTTTGAAATTTGATATATTTGTTTATAAAAACGGTAGACGTCTTCTGGCGTAATTTGATTTATCTATTGCAGCGGCGTCCGAGGACTCACTCCTGTTGATATTAATAAGTAGGTAAACATATGAGAAGTCTCTGCTGTTTCTTAGGTGTCATATGTTCTAATTATGCGATAAAAAATACAACTTTTTTGTCTCTTTACTTTTTTGATATCTTGCTTGGTTTTCGAGCGAAAAATTAATAGATTAAGTATGTGATTTTAATAAGTACTTGAACTGTGTAGTTATCAATTCCTGCTTGTCAAAATGAATTATACAAATAGTGAAATGTGCAATTTGAATTTTCTAATTGTATAATTCCTCATCATACTATCTTCACCCGTCTTCATCAACGTCTTAGTGAAACTGAAAGTTTTCGAAAACTTATCGCAGGAAACGGGCAACCCCGCACAGCAATAACCCTATAATTGGAGAAAGATGTAGGTACTTCATGAAATTGAAGACACTCTAATAACAAGTACCAGACAGATTGCTAGAAACTTAAATGCAAGTGGTTCTACAATTTTCAGGATTTAAAAAAATAATCTTCTCTACTTTTACCGACTGATTTTCCGTTAAGATTAGATTTATGTCGATGGATACGACAAAAAATTGGGGAAAATCCTCAATTTTTAGCAGAAGTACTATTCACAGATAAAGCGAATTTTTCTAGAAAAGCCATAATGAACTTCCATAATAATCATGTATGGGCGGACGAGAACCCAAATGCAATATTAGAAGGCCGTCATCAACACCAGTGTTGACTTAATGTATAGGTCGGAGTTGTGGGAGTCCACGTAATAGGCCCATTTTTTTACCACCGAGGCTTAGTGGAGATGTTTATCGCCGTTTTCTTGAGGATGAATTGCCCGTACTTTTGGAAGACATCCCATTGCCATTAAGGTTGCAAATGTATTTTATGCACGATGGTGCTCCACCCCATTTCAGTTTAGCTGCACGTGAATATTTGAACAATATCTACCCAAATCGCTGGATAAGTCGAGGAGGCACTCAACCCTGGCCCCCGAGGTCTCCCGACTTAAATTCGTTGGATTTTTCCCTTTGGGGTGACCTCAAACATTTGATTTATACGACTTTAGTGCAAACCATAGACGAATTAAGAAACCGCAATGTCGCATCCTGTGAAACAATTAGACATACAGCCGGAATATTTGAACGGGTTCGCCAATCAATGTGTCGTAGGATAGATGCCTGTATTTGAGTTGAAGGTGCACATTTTCAACAACTGTTGGAACGTCTGTGTATGTAAAGTATATTTCATATTATTATTGTTTGTAAAATATTTTTTCTTATGTTTCTGTTAATATTAATTATTAAAAAAAATATTATTTAGTGAGTTATTCTTCCTTGTTACATTGTTTTTCCTCCAAATGTATTGTTAAAGTTGATTAGTAAATAACTAAAACATTGAATTTCTATTTTTGTTTTTGTACTTCCCTTAAAATCGTGCATATGAAAGCAAGATATCAAAAAAAGTAAAGAGAGAAAAAAGTTGTATTTTTAATCGTATAATTAGAAAAAAAAATGACACCTAAGAAAAAGCAGTGACGTCTCATATGTTTACGGTATTACCGGAAGCGCTACAACAATGGCATAATTTTATTTAAAGAAAGCATCCCGGAAAGCCTTAACCTGAATTTTCAAAATTGAAATCACAGTATCTCTGAAATGTGCCGTCACCGCAAGACAGCCTGTGTAATTGTCAATTTCATTTTTTTACACTTTCAAAACTGTTTAACACACGATAAACACTTCTGATATACACTTGTTGGAATAACTAAAATGTGAAAACAATAAAAGTTTAGCATTTCTACGCTTATGGCACGCACTGACGCACATCAGCTGCGAACTGACATAACGGGATTATTTCGAGGAATCAGTCCTTAGATTAAACATACCGGAATACTATGCGAAATGACCAGCACATTACAATTTATATACAGAGAATAACAGGAAATTAGTTTATCATATTAAGAAGTGGTAGAAATTGTGGTTTGGTCTATTATTTTATGGGGGTTTTCGAACCTGGAAGGCCGACAACCGATCCCTCGTTTGCGCCCCCTGAACGCGGCAATGACTCAAATTGAATTCGGCACGCATAAACCCTCATCCCCCGTGTGTACCGGGGCGTCTATTGTTTTAATAAAAGCGCGCCGTTCCACCAAATTACACCGCACCTGGCGATAAGGTCGGCCGTAAAAAAGGAGCGAAAAAAAGAGCAGGACTCACGCGATCAATTATTTACTACCCACCCCCCTCCGCGGCAGCAATTTGTTTAAGAGGCGATATGATCAACCTGTGGTTTGGGGCGTTAATTTCACATTAATTTAACTTGTGAGGTGTATTTACTTTCATTTAATTTAATTTCTCTGTTAGCATAGGCGCCGCCGCCGGTGGGACGAAGGGGGTCATTTTACCCCTCTACGCTTCTAAAATAGGTGAAATTTCTTCAATTCGTACATTTGTCCTTGAACTCTTTTCTATAAAATTTTAAATAGCAGGTATTATAACTCAAATACCTATCTTCTTAAAAGAAGATAACTATATTTCAATGTGAGAACATTAAATCTTAGTTCAAACCAATGACAAGGACATAAAGATGCTCATTATAAAGAGTGATTCACAACTTATCCAAAAAAATTTGGGAATAGATGCGGCATTAGAAATGGAGTCAATATCTTAAAAAAATTTGTAAAATCCTTATAGTTTCCGAGAAAAAAATTATTGAAGTTGTAGTACATTCAACCATTACATAGCTGGCCAACTGTATCTAGCGTCATTCTCGATACGCGTGGAGAGCCACGTGGCCTCAGCGACAACGAATACTGAAATCCGATTTTACAACCATCGTTGCGTTAGTGTTTACCTGTTATCTGTCACAGAGCATGTTTTTTTAGTAGTTATTGTCAAAAATGGCTTGCGTGTATAGCAACTCGAAGTTGATGGATATCATTTTAATTAATTAAGACAACATTTTGTATTATGATGAAGCAGTTGTGTTATGGTAAAGCAAGACAACATTTGTGTTAGTTCGTAGAAACTGAGTAAGACGGACCCAAATGAGTTTACACGCCTATAGATAAAATTTTGAACAGTTGTTGTAACATTAGGTATGTCAAATTATTTTATTATTTAAAATCACAAACTAATTTTTTTTAATTAATAATAACGATAACGGCAAAAGCAGTTGAATTTGCTGATATAAAATAGGTGCTATAAATTCTATTTATTTCTTTCCTTGCGAAAGTTTTTGTCCGTTTTTATCACACTTTGCTGCCATGCCGGTTGCATTGTGCGAGGTTACGTTTTACAGTGGACCAGTTTCCAGTACCGTGCAGAGGTGTATTTTTAAATCATTTTCGAACTGCCCTTTTTGATTTTTTCTTTACAAAATTGTATTTGTAAGTCCCCTGTATATCCAATTTTTTTTTGGATAATTTCTGAATCACCCTGTATTTACCTCAAAAATTATGGCATTCCACTAGAATTTTTTTTGTAATATTTTTTATTTGAAATTGAAATGATTTTTTTGCATAGGTTCCATTTTGATACAAGTTGACAATTTGTAAAATAATGCGTTTAGATAAATTTAGAATTATACAGGGTGTCATAAAAACGTGCCAAAAATGAAGAAGTTATTTCCTCATCCAAATTAATATTTTATTGTATAAACATTCTTCTCCAGTGGTGTGTCATAAGAATAATTAACATCATATCTACGCCACTGATTTAACAAGGGGCCTAGATTTTACACTTTGAACGGAATTTTATCAATATACCGTCCACACAAAATTTCGTCCCATTATTTTCATTTATTCAGAAAATATTTAGGAATGTACAATTTTTTTATGTGTACTGTAACTATTATCGAACAGATTTTCTTTATCTCTAGGTGGACCTGAGCGAGAAACCCTCATTCTGGAAGGCCCTGAAGCCGCCGGCGAAGGACAAGTGCGGAGAACTCCTAACCTCCCTCTGCTACCACCCCAGCAACAGCATCCTAACGCTAACCTTGCTCAAAGCCAGAAACCTCAAGGCCAAAGACATCAACGGCAAATCAGGTGAGTTTTTCGAAATGTTTCTGCACCCTTTCCTTCTCAGTACGTGAAAAAGTTTATTTTTAGTCGGATTTGTATTTGGAATGCCTCAAGGATCAGTTCTGGGGCCACAACTTCCGTTAACTTACATGAATGTCTTGTCAACCGTCTGAAACAGTTTAAATTGCAGATGTGATCATCAGTTCTTCTTTAATTCTGGAATATATTGTTTATTCGAGTCTTGTATTAATTATTAAAAGAAGTATAGAGTGACGTATGCTGTCGCTACCAATTTCAATAGGTCTTTAACTTGTAAGGAATCTTTGAAGTTTATTTCTTGGTCTTCACCTTATTTATACTGCTCTTCAATATAATTTTCTTAATGAAATACTTGGTGTAGTAAAGATATCCACTCTATATTCGTTGCAATAACCCCAGCTAATACCGACAACGTCCAGTAGAGGATGTCCAGGACATTACTCGGTACGATAATATCTCCGCATAATACACGGACGTGTAGCCGTCAAATTCGTCTGATTCATGTGCATATGGTTGGATGATAATTCGCATTGTGGCAGGAAACAGTTCGACATGTGGGATAAATCGTTGGAAGGATGTGGGTTGCGATCGCTGGTAACTTGCAAGCCCTGTGAATTTTTATGTACCGTTTCCTTTATCTCTGTACGTAAAAAGGTCCGTTTCTAGTTGGATTTGAATTTGGAATGCCACAAGGATCAGTTCTGGAACCCCAGCTCTCCTTAACTTACATTAAAGTGCCAAATGTTAATAAAAGTTCAAATTACAGACGTGATCATCGCTTGACTTTTAATTCTATAAAATATTGCGTTTTCTTTTCTTCTCTCTTTCCTCTTCCAGATTAAACAAACAGTTGAAAACATCCTACGCTAAGCTATAAATTAAAAGATTAATTATTCTTATCACTAAATGCCAGGAAACTTATTCATTGTTCATTCTCAGCATTTTGGATCACGATGAATTTTGTTGTTGTTCCACAAACCCGTTTTCTTTCTGAGACTCCATTTTGTTGTTTTCAGATCCCTATGTGAAGGTGTGGCTTCAGTTCGGCGACAAGCGCATAGAGAAGCGCAAGACGGCCATCTTCAAGTGCACCCTGAACCCCGTCTTCAACGACACCTTCTCCTTCAACGTGCCCTGGGAGAAGATCAGGGAGTGCTCGCTCGACGTCATGGTCATGGACTTCGACAACATCGGCAGGAACGAGCTCATTGGGAGGATCCTCCTGGCCGGTAAGAGAGATCCCTTTACATTCCCGGCGGGCGCATCAGAGTGCGATCGGCATCCCTAGGTTCTTAAGCCACCGACCAACGCCCTCTGCGTTCCGGGCGGGGTTACCTGATAGGCTTATCGGATTTGGCGGAGTAAATTTCAGTTCTAGGTCTTTGCCTTGGGGTCAGAGTGAACGGACAGGGTTGTAGGGGGCTTATTATGTCGAGGGATTATTTACTGCTGTTGGAGGATTTCGAGTGGTGCGACGAAAAAGTTTGTATTCCGTGTAACATGTAACGGAAAACCGTCTTTTGCCGCTGACTGGATTTGGTCAATTTGGAATAAAGTACAGAATGAATTTTTCTATAGAATCCCTTACCTTTAATTTAACAAATACTTAAAATGGATAGAATGAATGAATCTCTCCTTTAGATTTAGGGCGCCACTGATCAGTCCCCGTAAACTCACAAGATTATATATCCAAAGCTCTCAATATCTGTCAAATAAAATCTGCAGATCGTTTTCTCTAAAAAATTATAATTACCGTCATGGACGAACCTTTCACATTGTCTCCCGCTCCTTGCTGTCGACTAGGCTAGCCTCCCTTACCCAACTCCAATATGCGTTGTTGTTCATATAATAACATCTAAGCACTCAAGATTGATTAAACAGCAAGCATTTGCTTATAGATTACGAAATTGAATTCGAAAGGAATATATCAGTCCTTGTAAACTCACGAGATATACATATATGTACATATTTAGAGTTCCCAGTATTATAGGTCACGATATGTAAAATGTGCAGATCACTTTCTCTCAGAATGACTACCGTCTGCTTTGGACAAACCTTTCACCTCGTCCCCTGCTCCTTGCCGTCGACTAGGCTAGCCTTCCTGTCCCAACTTCAATGGGCGTTGTCATTCATATAATAATATCTAAGCACTCAAGGTTATAAAGCAAATATTTACTTATAAATTACGAAATTGAATTCAAAAGAAATATCAGTCCTCCTAAACTCACAAGATATATTGAGAATTCTCAGTAATACAAGTTACGATATGTAGATCAATTTCTCTCAGAATCTATTTTTAGCGATTTAGTCCAGGAGAATTACATATTGGCATGGCTATGGCTTGACATAGTTTAGATATTGCTAAAAATCGGTTGAAAATATATATGTACAATGAAAATATAAGTTTGCGTCACGAAAAAAGTTGTGCTATTTGCAGGAAAAATTATAAACTGCAAAAATACTCAAAAATTACGTGTTTTTTCTTACATTTTCCAATACAAGTTTATAAATATGCAGTTTACAGAAAAAAATACCACTGATGAAATTGTTCGTTATTCGTTTTTGAGTATTTTTGCAGTTTTTAATTTTTCCTGCAAATAGCACACTTTTTTTTCTTTTGCGCAAACTTATATTTTAATTGTATACAGGGTGGGCCACCAGTAACGCCTCGGTCGCTAGTGACCAAACGGCAAATGTTAGAGAAACCTGTATAGGTGGGCATGTGTAGGTTGATTACGGCTACATTTTAAAAATATTTTGAAATATACAGGTTGTCCAGGAAAAGCGTACCATATCAAAGTTATGTTTTTTTTAATGGAACACCCTGTATTTTACTGCATTTTTGAAAGCACCGTAAAAAAATAGGTGAACTTTATTAAAGGTTCTGCATACCTAGGACTTACAGTTTGTGAGATATTTCAATTTTAGTGAAAATGCAGGCATAGCGTAGAAATTTAATATTAGCAATAAAAAAATAATTTTAAGGAAGCAGCTTTGGAGGGTCTATTTTAGATCCTTGAAGTTATAAATTGTTATATTTGTCGTCACTTAGTATTATACAGGGTGTTCAAAAAACTGCTGAATACTTCTCTCAACTTTAAACAGCAATAACTTGGTTATTTTAAATGGAACACCCAGTATATTTTTACTTTGGGAGTTGGGAAATTTAAAACTCTTTCAAACTGTGTATAGGTTCCCTATACCTATCTCTAACGGTATTGGAGATATTTGTGCCGTTTCGTTTTTTATCGATTTTTTTTTTATGATGTATCCACGTGTCTTTATCGAGGTCTTTACTGAATTGGTTTGGGTTCTTCTTGATGACGTCTCTTTAAATATATTGAGAAAAATGAGGATGCAATTAGATGGCGCACCTGCAAATTTTTCATATTCAGTGAGAAATTATTTAAATCGAAAATTTAGTAATAAATGGATAAGTAGGAATGGTGCATGTCAGTGGCCACGTAGGTGTCCAGACCTCACCGTAATGGACTTCTTTGTTGCGAGCTATATAAAAAATCTTGTATACAATGTTCCACCTATTACTTGCGATGATATTGGAGGGAAGGATTAGAGATGCATTTGCGTGAGAATATCATTTGAAGATAGAATAAGATGCTGTATTCAGGAGAATGGTTATCAATTCGAACATCAATTAAAATTTTTCTTTGTTTTTTCTAAAAGTAAAAGTTCCTTTTATCATTATCATGAAAATATTCAAAAAAGTTTTCTAATAAAAAATATTATTTTATAAGCAGAATGATTATAAAAAGTTATTAATTTTGTATAAATATGTTTGTAGTAAGTAACTGAATTATTTATGAACAAGAAAAATATTTATTAAAGAAAATTTTACTTTTAGAAGAAACAAAGAAAAATTTTAATAGATGTTCGAATTGATAACCTTTCTCTTGAATACAGCATCTTATTCTATCTTCAAATGATATTCTCACATTCCTTAGAATAGTTATTTGGGGTGATATATCTAATCCTTTTCTTCATATCATCGCAAGTAGTAGGTGGAACACTGTGTACAAGATATATATTTATACAGCCCGAAACAAAGAAGTCTATTACGAGAGGTTTGGACACCTGTGGTAGCCACTGACATGGACCATTCTTACCTACTCATTTATTACTTATTTATCGATTTATATAATTCCTCACTGAATATGAAAAATGTGCAGGTGCGCCATCTAATTGCATTCACATTTTTCTCCTTATATTTAAAGAGACGTCATCAAGAAGAACTCAAACCAATTCAGTAAAGACCTCGATAAAGACACGTGGATACATCTTACAAAAAAAAAATCGATAAAAAACGAAACGGCACAAATATCTCCAATACCGTTAGAGATAGGTATAGGGAACCTATACACAGTTTGAAAGAGTTTTAAATTTCCCAACTCCCAAAGTAAAAATATACTGGGTGTTCCATTTAAAATAACCAAGTTATTGCTGTTTAAAGTTGAGAGAAGTATTCAGCAGTTTTTTGAACACCCTGTATAATACTAAGTGACGACAAATATAACAATTTATAACTTCAAGGATCTAAAATAGACCCTCCAAAGCTGCTTCCTTAAAATTATTTTTTTATTGCTAATATTAAATTTCTACGCTATGCCTGCATTTTCACTAAAATTGAAATATCTCACAAACTGTAAGTCCTAGGTATGCAGAACCTTTAATAAAGTTCACCTATTTTTTTACGGTGCTTTCAAAAATGCAGTAAAATACAGGGTGTTCCATTTAAAAAAACATAACTTTGATATGGTACGCTTTTCCTGGACACCCTGTATATTTCAAAATATTTTTAAAATGTAGCCGTAATCAACCTACACATACCCACCTAAACAGGTTTCTGTAACATTTGCCGTTTGGTCACTAGCGACCGAGGCGTTACTGGTGGCCCACCCTGTATATTATTTTCGACCGATTTTTTACTAATATCTAATCTAGCTCAAACAACAGCCATATCTCGAAGGTTTTGAGCTTAATTCTCTTGGACTAACTGTCCTTTCATCTCGTTACTTGTTCCTTGCTGTCGACTAGGCTAGCCTCTCTCTCCCGGTTCCATCGAGGGTTATCGTTCACAGCCGCGCTCGATACACAAGCGCCCACTTTATTCAAATTTGAAAAGAATATTTCCACAAACTTCTTAATTGAATTTTACACAGTGACGGCTCAATTTGTGGGGGGCTCTGGGGCGGCGCCCACCTTAGAAATTATTTTTTTAATGCTACATGTTAATTATAGATATTTGAGATAATCTAAAAATTAAAAATTTATCGCATGAGCAGGAACACATTGTGACGTCATTCAGTGCGAATGAGAACACAGCCTGCTTCTCAACCTTATAGTCTACAATTCTCATGCTGACGAGACGGAACCTTATCTAAAGAAACGCGCACGCAGAAAAGCCTCGAAGCAAAGTGGAATCGGCTGTTTTAAAATTGTTACTTACTATGCTCATGCTATTGGGTCGTCCTATTCCTGTCATTCATCTTCTCGATTATAAATCGCACGAAATGACGTCACGAATTAGTGCGGCAGCAAACACTCGTTTAAAACGTTTATTTTACCCGCCAAATTTTAATAATCAATTATTAATTAACGTCTAAGAGATTTCTGGGAAATATACGCAGGTTGTCCATTGCGTTTCTTGTAAATTCTGACAGATCGCAATCCTAACCTCACAATCACTCAATTCTTTCGTGTCATCTTATGTTGCTGAGGCAGCGCCAACAACAGCCAATAGTAGCGTCTTGTCGCTGAAGTTAAACCAACGACGCATTGGGTTCAATCGACGACGCAAATATCTCGTTCTTTTTTTACTTAGACTTCTCCTAACCTTCAGAGAAGTGTCCACCTTTGTTCATCATATAATTTTTTTTATTTTTCAGGTAAGAACGGATCAGGGGCGTCTGAGACCAAGCACTGGCAGGACATGATAACGAAACCGAGGCAGACCATAGTGCAGTGGCACAGGCTGAAGCCCGAATAGAATAGAAGGTGGGGAGGTAGCACACACTGGTAATGTCTTTTTCGAAAGCACTTTTGACTACAACAACACCTTCAACTGTTTTCTCGTCTTTGTAACTAACCGTATGATTTATCATCGAAAAATCCTTCTGAAAATTTAAAAAAATAACGACAATAATTTGCTTTGGCCCAGGTCCGTCTCCGGTCCGCACAATCGAAATAGGGTCCCACAAGGGTCTGTTCTAAGCCCACAAAAACTTTTCTATTTCGGATGTCGCGAACGGAGACGGATCCGACCTTCCTAAAAATTTTCCACTTTTCTGAGAACTGCTGCTGTTTGCTTCCCAATTTTCTATGCTTATAATAAAGTAAATCTTTAATATTCCCTTTCAAACTGATTAGGAAAATATCGCACAAAAACTCAACAAAATTATGCATTTAAACACCACAGCAACGTTTCCACCATTGACTTTTATATTTGTCTCAATTTTAAACCCTGCGTTCCACAATCTTAAATTAAATCACTTCGGCCCTCAAAAAGCCTTTAAATGATCTTGCAATTAATCTGTGACCTTGAAAATTGTAGTCAAAACCTTTCTTGGCATTAAGGTTGTTTAAAGACTTCGGTCTCGCATCCTGACCTTTGCTACATTATTTTTCCACTGAGAAGCCTTCAAGATATAAGCTTCAATTTTTCCGACCTTAACTGACCTTAATTTAAAACTTACTTGATGTGCCTCTTATGAATCTGGTAGCCTTTAAGCTGACTCTGGTTAGTTTCACTACCTTTATTTCAACCTCTTAATGTTCAAGAGCCTTTAAAAAGCCTTTATTTTTCTTCCATCTTAGCGTTTCAATGAAAAGGTCATCTTCGTCCTTGTTCTAAAACCTTGAATCTGACAGTTTTCTCACTTTATTTCCAAGATATATCGAATTTGTGTCAGGCTTAATCTGAGACTTTCAATTTTTCTGGCCTTAATTCCAGATTTACCTGATGTACTTCTTGTAAGTCTGACAGCCTTTAGTTATACTCTGATTATCATTTTCTAGTCTTTTAACATTCAAAAACACCTCCTTCGTTCCCCCCCTTTTCCTTCGTTGATCTTGATACCTATAACCTTGCATCGACTCTCAATATAAAAATGCCCTTTTATGAACATCTTCGTCCTTTACATTGAAGTTTTTTTAAGGCCCACCAAAATTATCGAATATATCTCCAATCTGATATTAGACCTTAAACTTTTCGACCTTCTTGAAAATGTGGTAGCCTTTGATAGCCAAGCCTGGTTAGCTTGCTGGCCTTTATTCCAGCCTTTAACATTTAAAAACTTTTAAAAAATCTGTGTTTTTTCTTTAATCTTGACATTTGCATCCTTGAATCTGTTCTTAATATAGAGACCTTCACGGATATAAAGGCTAATTTCATCTTATCATCTTTAAAATGGTTCTAAGGCCTTGGGTCTACAATCTGACCTTTGCCACTTTATTTTTCCAATCAAAGGCCTTCAGAATATATTAAATATGTGTGACCTTAATTCAAGGCTTACTTGGTGTGCTGCTTATAGTCCTATAGCCTTTATACACTCTCGTTAACTTCTTGATTTATAAACCTTTAATGTTTTTTTTCGTTACTCTTGACACCTGCATCTTTAAATCTGTTCTCAGCGCAAAGATGGTCCTTAAGGTCGCTGGCCTTAACATAGCCTTAAACTATAATTTTCTTGTGAAAAATTTGTTTATTCAAGACATTCACACTTATAACTGGGAATAGTTCGACATACCCAGAGATCTTTATTTTCAAGGTCACAAATTTAGTAAAACATGGTGTTTAAGTGTGTAATTTGCCATACAGAAACCTTTTTTCAGGCGCCCCGTAGTTGAGTTTTCCTTTGAATTCTATCTTACCGATATGTTAACTAAAAAAAAGTGAATACATAACATATATATTTTCTAATTTAAGAATCTATTTTTCAATTATAAAGTGAAGTATTTTCTTAAAACTAGTAAAGGATCAAATCGTGTTGCTATATATCTTTGTTTATCGGTATTTTCGAGCACAAAAAATGTTTAATTAAGGATTTATATAAATAATATTATATATACAAAAAAAATGTCTAAGTACCATAAAATTTTCAAAAAAGAACTGCGAAAATATCTCTATAAATGAGAAGTATTTTTTGTGATACCTTAGTAATGTTAAAATATTGTTATTATATATGTGAATATTATTAGACTAGGCTTAAGGTGAAAATAATACATTATTACATATTAACAAACAAAAAAAAAAAGAAACGGCCCCCCCGTTCAACTACAGGATTATAAAAAAGTATTGGCAATTGCGCACGAACAAGGAAGATGAGCAAAATTTTTGATTTTTTTTACGGTTATTTGAAGCACTTTTTTTGTTCACCCTGTATCTTAAAAAAGGAACAGTTCCATCAAAACAATAAAATCTCAAATTATAGCCATTGATCAATTAATAAATATTGAATTTCAATTTATTTTTCGTTCTTCTTTACTTTATGTACAGGGTGGATCACAATAATTTTTTATTAAAATATTCTGTTATATTTTTTCTACGACGAAAAGTAGAAGATTATTTTGCTTTATTAAAATTCTTTTAAAATTAGTTGAACAGAATTAAATTTAATTATTTTCGCGGCTTTTGAGGCACTTTTTTTGCTTACCCTGTATCTCGGAAAATGAACGTTTCCATCGAAACGATAAAATTTCAAATGATAGCCGTTGATCAATTAATAAATATTAAATTTCAATTTCTTTTTCGTTCTTCTTTAACTTATATACCGGGTGGGTCACAATAATTTTTTATTAAAATATTCTATTATGTTTTTTCTATAACCAAAATTGGAAGATTACTTTGCTTTTATTAAAATTCTTTTAAAATTAGCCGAACAGAATTAAATTTAAATATTTTCGTGGCTTTTTGAGGCACTTTTTTTGCTCACCCTGTATCTCGGAAAATTAACGTTTCCATGGAAACGATAAAATCTCAAATGATGGTCGCTGATCAACTAATAAAAAATATTAAATTTCTGTTTTCATGAAGTTCTTCTTTGCTTTATGTACAGGGTGAATCAAAATATTGTTTTATCAAAAAAAAATCCGTAATATTTTTTCTACAGAATTATTTTGCATTTGTAAAAATTATTTTAAACTTGTCTTAAAAAAAAATAAATTTGTTTATTTTTACGGTTATTTGAGGCACTTTTTTGCTCACCCTGTATCTTAAAAAATATATTTCCATCAAAACGATAACATCTTGAATAAGAGCCGCTGATCTACTAATAGCTATTAAATTTCAGTTCTTTAAAGTTCTTTACTTTATATACAAGGTGGATCAAAATATTGTTTTATCAAAAAAAATATAATATTTTTTCTACAGAAAGAAGTAGAACATTATTTTGCATTTATGAAAATTCTTTTAGAATTAGCTTTAAAAAAAATGTAATTATTTTTACGGTTGTTTGACGCACTTTTTTTGTTCACCCTGTATAGTAAATATTTCTATCGAAACGATAAAATCTTAAATAATAGTCAATCAATTAAAATCAATTTTAGTTTTTTGTTTTAAGTTCATTACTTCATGTACAAGGTGGAGCAAAATATTGTTTTATTAAAATGACTATTGCATTTTTTAAACAAAATTAAGGACGAAATTATTTGGAATTTATTAAAATTCTTCAAAAAGTAGCTTCACATATTTAATTTAATTTAATTACTTTACTTTTTGCTCACCCTGTATCTTAAAAAGGAAACATTCTCATCAAAGAGATAAAATCTCAACTTATAGCCGGCCATCAATTAATAAATATTAAATTTCAGTTTTTTAAAGTTTATTACAGGATGATTCAAAACAATTTTTCATTAATTTTTTTTTCCTACAAAGAAAAGTAGAAGATTATTTTGCATTTATTAAAATTCTTTTAAAATTAGCCCAACAAAATTTAATTATTTTATTTTAAGTTATTTAAGGCATTTTTTTTTGTTCACCCTATATCTTACAAAAAAGGAACATTTCAGTTTTTTAAAGTTCTTCTTTCCTTTATATACAAGATGGGTCAAAATATTTTGCATTTATCAAAATTCTTTTAAAATAAATAAGCAAACAAAATTAAATTTTACGATTATTTTTTTGCTCACCCTGTAGTTTAAACAAATATGTATAACATTTCCATCAAAATGATAAAATCTCAAATTATTGCCTCTAATGAATTATTAAATATTAAATTTCAGTTTTTTAAAGTTCTTATTTTATATATAAGGGGGTCTAAAATATTTTTTGTTAATAAAATGGCAAAGAAAAGTAGAGGATTAATTTGCATTCATTAAAATTCTTTTAAAATTAGCTTAACAAATTTGTTTAATAATAATTATTAGGTTATAATCAGGTACTTTTTTTGTTCACCCTGTATCTTAAAAAAAGGAACATTTCCATCGAAACGACAAAGCCTCAAATGCTAGCCACCGATAATACTAAATTTCATTTTTTTTTGTTGTTTTTTATTTTATACACAAGGTTATTTATAAAAACATGTTACTATTTTTTTTTTCTACAAAAAAGAGTTACCTTAACCAAAATAAATTTAATGGTCTTCAATAATTTTTTAAATAATTCACCGAAATAATGAAATACTTATTCTCATCATCCTGTTGCTTGTTAAACGTAATTTAAAAAAATGCATTTGGAATAAACAGTTCTCCAAATAACCGAAATTTTAAGCATTCCCAACATAATTGCCATTCCTTTTTATTTTAATTACATACAGTACTTGAGCTGGGGGACCGGCCACACAAATAATTTTAGTACCTATTTATTTGAATAATTGTAGTCTAAAATATCTACAAGTTGTACGAGGGACACGCTTTCCTTGTCTGTATAGTTAATTTTTCGAGCGGGTCAAAGAGGGACGCACGCGTCGCGGTGAGCAAAGGAAAAAATTGCACACTTACCACTAAGGAGAAAAGGGATTGTGATCTACGTGTTTTTGCAAAGATTTTTATGTGTGCTTTTTGTAAAATAGCGATAGGTTCGGTATACTTGTAACTTCATATCGGAGAGTAGATCCCATATTCTAACGGGTAGTCGCGAAACTGAGAACCGAAATTTCGACCTAAAAAAGAAGTAGGGACCTATTAAAAACACCCTGTATAAGGATATTGAGTGATCATTAAATTGTATTTTTTCGTTATATTCTGTATTTTTTATTTGATGCAACTAGATCGCCAAATATTTGAAAAATTACGAATTCTCAATTTCGCGATCACGCTGTACATTGTTAACGTTGCTCGACGTCCAGTTTCTAAGGCTCAGAACGTAAGAGAAACATATCCACGAAAAAAAAATCGTATGGGTCTTAAGGGGATTTTGATAACTTGTTGGCTTCTTAAGAGGAACTGGTTTTTGGTACCCGTCTTTAAAAAAATGTATTGTACCTTTTTGGTTTTACCACATTTCCTTATTTCGACGGTAGAGGGAAGCGCTGGCATTTTTTTTGGCCGTCTAGGAACGTCGACGCTACGATTTTGAGAAAAATCTCATTAGTTAAACGTTGATACTGTTAATGTGAGGCCAATATAAGATTTGGTGTTTTAATAATATCTGTTGTACTATAACTTTCTCAGATTTTAATAAAAGGGTGGTTTTTGGTTAGTTTTCGGAAGAATACGGAGCTTTCCAAACAAGTCATCAAAAATAGGAACAAGTTTGCAACAAAAAGTGACAACTTGTTTTTTTGACAGATTCGTGGTTCGACTTGTCAAATTTGAGATTTTTCCGAAAAGTAACCTACCAGACGAGGAGGTTTAGAAAACCTAGTTCTAAAGATAAGGAAGAAACATAACTGTAGTGCCTGAATTTAAACGTATCGTTATTTGCGAGTACCTAAGTCTTTTGAGGGTTCGTTTGGGTGAGGATTTTATTTTTGTGTGCAAAATTTATACAAGCTGCAGGACGTGTTAAGTTTAGTTGTCTAGTTAAAAGCCCGTTATCCGTAGTTTGGTGTATTTTTGATGGGAAAAGCGTAGGATTTATAAAGCGCCCCTTTTAATGGTAAAGTTAGGTTAGGTCATAGGTAGCGGGGCGGTCTTGGAAGTCGCGGCCGCCATTTTACGCTAGATATTGACAGGGAACTGCGTTGTTACAAAATGGCGGTAAGCTGCCTCGAAAGGCTATGTCCATACGGGGTAAATCACACAGTCGAAAAATAAAAGGGAGGAACATGAAAGTTTATTAAAATAAAGACAATTCCCTTCATTGGCGTATATTTTTCAGAAACACAACACCGTCGTCTGATGGCGTTTTTTAAAAAATATTTTTTTTTTCAAATTTCTCTTAACCCTCGAATTTTCGTCGTGTGTGTTTCGCCCCAAGGCCGACCTAGCTATCCTGACTAGCTGATTTGAGCCAAAAAAATAAGGATCATATTTGTATATTAAGTTTGATTTATATTTTATATGAAACATGTTGCTAATGTAATTTTAAAGATATATGTTAAGTGTAAACATCATTGAATGTTAATACAAGAATAATTTAAATGTATGTAAATATATGTTAGATGATAGTAACCTCAATATTGTAGAAGTATTAATTAGTGAAAATAAACGTATTTAATTTAATAAATTATGTCTCCTTTATCCGTTCACCTCCTCCCGACCCCAAGACGAAGCAGAAAGTGAGAACTGCAAGCTGCAGGTTACACACGAGTGCTGCCATCTATTAGAGAGCGGTCCAACTGATGTCGTCAATGATTACAGGAAACTGTAAAAAGTATGCGCTGTGAATAAATGAAATCAAGACGATTCCTCAAATTGTGTTAAATATAGAATACTAGTTTATCATGCACCTTTAGGACTTGCGATTTAAAAAAGTTTTCTTAAGTGACTTCTTTGCTATGAGGGGGGTGTGATTTCTTTTATTTTAAACCAATGTAAAATAAACAATCTTGTCACTCTTTATCCATATCAGTCATCAAAACCAGACACACAAACACAGAAAATCACTCGTTCTCAGTAATAGTTATTAGTTTTCGATTATCCGACAGGTGGCGCCACATATATCTCGTCGGTACTAGTTGAACCTGAAACCATAGGACCCACGATTTAGAATTTTATCCTTCAGTAACTCCTTTGCTATTAGAGGGTATGTTTCATATTCTATTCAACCAACATAAAGTAATTTCTGTCGTCTATACTAACAAACCAAACAGAAATATAGACACTCGATCTCAGTCATGTCATGATTCTTGTGAGACCTGGGATGGAACTGTGTCCCATTAATCTAGTTGGGTAGTCGAGACGTGCGGTAGATCCCAACCCTTCCTCACCTTTGTGGGTACCTTACTTAAGACAACTTCGTGTTCATCTTGTGTCGGTGAGATACTCCAAAAATCGTGGTGGCGCCATCTGTTGCTGTAAATTTGGACTACATTTTGCTGCTTTGAAATTTAAACTTTACGGACAAATTCATTACATTTTGCACACGTTTTTCT